TAACCCTAACCCTAACCCTAACCCTAACCCTAACCCTAACCTTAACCCTAATTCCCTAACCATATCAGATAGTTACCAGGGTACGTTCCAGTATACCGGACCATACCCAGGGTACGTTCCGGCAGTACCCTGGGGGACATAGACCCTGGCCTATGAGCGTGAGTAACCTAATCCTAATGCCAAGCCGTTCCACATAAATTTCCCAACTGATTGATAGGTACTGCACAATGACAATCACTGTTTGTGGTGAAAACGAAAGATGGATTCAAAAACGCTTAAACCTACCTTAGTGTTTGCCGGTGGTCTGCCCAATTCGAACTTTCTCTTCTTACGGAGTGGCTTTCTTTTACCACCAGTGGCACGCCGCTTGTGTTGATTATCTCGCGAAATACCTGTTTTTCACAAATTGGTAGCCATGTTATTTCCGACTCACTCACATTTACGCAAAACCAACGATAGGTTGGCATTAGGATATAATAACAGGAGCGTTAACACCGCTACGACTACAAGCAATGATATTGAATAATAAACAAGCATTAATTTTGGAGGCACACTCCACCTATTCCACTAAAGTAAATTATGGGCAATGTTTCCAACCAGTCTAGCGAAATAGACTTTTAATAACAATAAAATACATTTAACAAAAACTACACACACTGTGAAATAAAGGATGAATTTAACTTTAAATCAGTCTAACTATAACCAGAGATGATAGATCTTTAACAACCAATAAAATCGATTTGTAACTCAGTATTAAACAGTATGTTTACCCATGATGGCTGACGGCCATGAAAAGGAAACGGAAATATCCTCCACTTTTCTTTTCACGTTGACGATAGGCTTTTAATTTAGTACGATGTATCAGACGACATAAGTTCATGAATATCAATATTTTGAGCAATAACATATTTATACCACTATTTGGTAATTTTTATTCACACATTTATGAAAAAAAACAGGGCAAATAAAATCAAAATTAAACAGTAGTTCCCTCTTGTGGAGACCGAGTGGAAACAAGCCACCTTGACGCGAATGAGCAACTGGAAACAGCTGATTTTCGTAACCTTATCAGTAATTTTGCAAAATACAAACTGTTAAAGATGTCCATTCGCGAAATAATTAGTTCAGTGGACCCGGAAAAGGTTTTAATGCCAGAATTAGAAAACCATTTTCGTGACGATTCGTACTTACGTCCTTACGAAAGAGAGTTGAAACGAAGGTAAGTTACACTTATTAAATACAAGTTACACCGGCTCAATCTCAAGCAACATCCCCTAGCTCCATCCCTCAAGCCTCAAGCAACATCCCTCAAGCTAACTAGAAAAGCTTGCATGTTTGATGCCTACAATTACAAATTACAATACCATTACCAGCTCGGCAGCTGCCCAATTCTCCCAACACTCATTCAACATTGGCATTGCAAACATGCTGTACACTCATAGCCACTATGGCACTAATTAGACAGTAGACATTATACGGACAGTAATAAACTTCCTCGGGCAATTTTCGTTGATTACCCTACTCTTCACTTTCTCTATAGCCTACAAGCCACAAACACTTCACGCTGCTGTGGCCTTATTCAGAAAAGACTAATCGCCTGGCACTCTGTGAGGGCGAGCCCACAATGTAGGGGTGGTCGGGTAGGGTATGGTTAGGGTTAGGATTAGGGTTAGGGTTAGAGTTAGGCCTACCCTACCCGACCCTACCCTACCTGACCACCCCTACACTATGGGCTCACCTTCACAGAGTGCCCGGGGATTAGTCTTACCCCCTTATTCTTGCACTCTGGTAGGATAGCTCTAGTAGTACTAGTAGTACTATAGCCCGCGTACAGTTGACGCTATAGTACTAGAGCTACTGGCAGGATTACTGTGACCGAGAAGTGTAGCATTTTTTTGTAATTTATCTTCAAACATACATATACATTTCCTAACTTCCACTGTTTGATGGCCACAGTGTATGATTGGTTTCGACCATTTCAATTTTTACGTCGCAACTATAACGTCATCGTGTGTTGCTAATCACATGCGGGGGCATCCAACATACTTGAACAGTGCATATAGTTGGGAACCATACACAGTATAGAGGTATACATACATATTTCTTCAGCGTGTAGGCAGTAATGTAGTAGTATTAGTAACATGGTGGGTGTTAGTGGGTATACGGCAGCCCAATAATAATGTCAACTACAACATGTTGTAACTATGTATCAGGAATGGATTAATTAATGCCCACAGCCATAGTGCAATTAAACACAGATATTTAATAATACATTGTGTGTGAGGCTATAATATTGCATATTACATAAATAACTTCAACTAGTTATAGTACTAGCAGTACCATTATACAATATATACCAATATGGTATATGGTATTTGCTATGGAAATATATGTTACATAAATTGTAACTCTGAGCAGTTTCAAGGTTGCACTGCACAATTTTAGTGTGACCCACATTTAATTTCTTGCGTCTTATTTAGGATACTTGCTTGTTAAATAGATCACTGGCCACCACATAACGGGGATTTATGCTGATACTTGCTAGAGATAATAAAAAATGACCAAGTATATACTGTGCTTCCACAAAGTTATCAACAGTGAAAGCGAACATTTTCACAGGTATGGGTGTTTCACCAAGGTGATGAAAATGATGGAAGACCATGAAGGTGGCTTGGATAGGTTCACAAAAGGCTACGAGTATTTTGGCCATCACGTAACCCCAGAGAATGGTGTGATTTGGCGAGAATGGGCGCCAGAAGCAGAGGGATTATTCTTGCGTGGTGATTTCAGTAAGTATTATCTTTGCACGCGTGCAGGTATTCAGTGTCCTGAATATGGAGGTGTCACTGTTTGATTTTGGTCTAGGGTTCAGGCTTTGAGCGTTGTTAACTTAAGATTATGCCTGGTACCATTCACCCAGCCCCCAAATTTCATTACACTACAGACAGCACTTGCTGTGGTTACTCTCCCTACATTCTGTCGTGCTCGTAAAAACCTGTCAATATCCACAGCAATAAACTGCCGTGGCTGTCATACCTATTTAGTCTGCCTCCGTGCTTACACCAGAAATGCATTGCCATGTATATATTATTCTTTCTTATAAAGTAAATAACCTTGATAAGGTATCTATGAAGGAAATGTTTGATTTCATGCCTTAAAACCTCTGAATAAACCAAAAGTAATACTTGCCTTGCCGTAAAATTGTATAGTTGGATCCCTGTTTATTTTCTTTGAGATAATTGGGAAAGAGTCACTCATCCATTTAAAAAGCTTGAGCATGGGAAGTGGGAGTTGTATCTACCACCCAATGCAGATGGAACATGCCCTCTAGCCCATCAAAGCAGTCTGAAGGTAAGTTATTAAGCAACAGTAAAGTCATGCTAACAATATTATTTGTTTCAATCAGAATTGTGAATATGTAATCATCTGTCTTGCTAGCATGTGTTTTTATGAAGGATTGGTGATATGTTGCAAGTTACAGTATCGTATATATAGGTCTTCTTTTTTGTGATTACAAAAACTCACAACGCTTTAAACTTTGCAGTTAAGCAATATTTGTTGACAAGAAACCACATGGTCATATTTTCTGCACGAGGAGTATGCATACATTCAGGCGTTGTTTACTGATCTGTACAGGCTTATTCTCAAGGCCAGTTTTGTTTCACATTCGGCACATCACGTGTGCTCTGCTAGTGATACACAGTGGTGACAGATACAGTAGTCACATAATTCTACTTAGAATCAGACATTCTAGCAAAACTCAATCTCTTCTGGTTCTGTGTCGCTTCCACGTGTAGGGTGCTTGACATTTCAGATAGTTGTTGCACCTAAGGCTGGCGTCGCAGGCTCCGGTGCAGATGGTGGACCGGTAATGTCAGAGAAATTATGTTTGATACGCGTGGTGATGGCCATCCTTTCACAATTACGTTCTTTTGTATCTAATTTTTAAAATTTTCTCAGCTAGTCCTCTCCACGCATGCGTGGGTGAGATGGACCACGGTTGAATTTAACCTCACAGTGTTTGTCTATTTCAGGAATTAGAATACTGGTACTATTGGTAACAGCAGTGCTAGTTTTTCAATTCCTTCCTGCGACGCGCTTGGAATTTTTTTTATGTGCCCGGCTGGTGCAAGCACGTCGTACTGTCGGGTGCATCACTAAGTTTTTATGTGCACTTTTGCTTCTGTTAATTACGCATTTCACAACGGAAAATCATCAGCATGTATTTTTGGCATGGCGGCGGGTCGAAAGGCACACGTGTCTCGTTACTTTAGCAGGTACAGTTGTCACGTCGTAGGCATAGATCTGCTCTCGTGCACGCTGCGCTGGTAGATTGAATGCCAAGCGTCCTGGTTGTGTTGCTTTTGGTTCCTTAGTCGCAGCGCTTGCCCGTACCACGCTTCGCGCTTATGCTAACCGCAACGCCACACATGCACCCGCAAACGTTAGATAATCGCTGACTAGGTCTAGAGACGTTGATAAATCAACTTTTATGTGTGATATATTTTTGGTAATGCTAAATTTTTGTATGTGTCCGTTTTGGGGGGGGGGGAATTTTGCCGAACGGACACAAATGTGCATTAAAACAACATGTAACAGTTTCTCTGTGCAGCATATGCTGTTGGCAATGCAATACCTTGTTTCCTCCACAGCTGCCTGCTAAAATTCAACAGCAGCGTTTTTTCATAACTGGTAGATAACCACCCCACTGAACTTAAGCTGTCCACCCTGGCAGGTGATGTGTTAATTATTGGTGTTTGGCTTCAGTAATGATGTTGTCTGCGTTTCGATTGGTCAGGTGGTGGTCGTGACAAAGCATGGAGAGCTCGGGGACAGGAACTCGCCCTGGGCCACTTATCTCAAGCATCCAGACAACAACTTCCAGTACCACATGGTGTTCTGGAATCCGCCACAGAAGGTAGTCTTTATTTTTTAGTTATCTGACTCTTTATCTATCCATTCATCCGTCTATCTATTGATCCATGCATCCACTAACCCATCCATCTATCCACCCATCCATCTATCCAACCGTTCACCCATCCATTGATCCACCCGCCCACCCACCAATTTGCATGCATGTATGAATCCATCCATCCATCCATCCATCCATCCATCCATCCATCCATCCATCCATCCATCCATTCATCATCATCATCCATCCATCATCCATCCATCCATCCATCCATCCATCC